TCCCTAATCGAAGGAAAGGGTTCACGGAGGGGAGAGGAGGAGGGGGGAGAATGGCGTTCTCCCCGACCTGCGGCTGAAGGGGTACCAGCATGCCGAAGGCACCTGGGTTTTGAGTGAGAGTTTGGATGAAGGCGGAGAACGCTGACTGTACGTCAATGGTGAGAACCGGAGGGCTCATTTGGTTTTCGCTCCGGTCCTTCTTTTTGGCCTCGATGCCAAGGCAGGCATCGGGGGCATTATGTTGGAGCTGAAGGCGCAGGTCAACAGCCGTCTGTTCCAACCCAGCGAGGGCGCCGCCCTCGGGAGCCATGTTAGAGGCTTCGAGGGCGTCGACGTCGCCGAGGGCCAGGTTCCTCTCCTCATGAGTCTTGGATTGGGCACGGGTGTTTCTTCCCATTTTGATAGGTGTTTTTAGCTGAAGGGGAGGGTTTCTTACTTGATTGTTCGAACTCTCAACGAGAGCACCAAATGATGGATAGTGTACCCGTGGGGTAGCTTATCCGAGGGGTTATTGCGGAGAATAACTAGAGAGAAGTCAGAGCAAATAAGTAAGAGAGAGAGTGTATATTCGATATGTATTAAGCGTGGTTTACAATGGGGGAAAGGGGTGCTATTTATAGTAGTAATAAATGCTAGATAAGGACACGTGTCAGTTTTCTGGTGGTCGAGGGGTCACCTCGACCGGGGTGGCACTGGCATTCGCATGTGGCCGCATTAAATGCGGTGGTTGGATGTGACGTTTGTACTTGGTACGGTGATCCAGGCGCATGTGAAGAGGATATTTTGTCGATGTGGATGCCTTCGGCTGAAGGGTGCTGGGCCGAAGGCTCTTCTAACCGAGAGCTCCTACCTGCTGAGGGCTGCAGGTTCCGAAGGCTTGGTTTTCAAGCCTTGTTCTCATGTGATGCCTCTTCTAACCGAGGGCTCCTACCTGCCGAGGGCTGCAGTTGCCGAAGGCTTGGTTTTCAAGCCTTGTTCTCATGTGATGTTTCGGAGCTCGATTCCGTCACTGGTAGCCTTCGGCCATGAGGCCGAAGGCACCCCTTTGCGTATTGTGGGCTGCTTAGAGCTCCATTTTGCTGGGCTTGGCCCGTTTGGACCTGTTGGACCAGATTGTAGTAGAGGAAGTATGTGGGCCGGGGGTCCCTGGGCCATATACTCCATCAAAACCAAGCTTTGTAACTGGAGCAGGATAGTGAGTTGCTAAATAGGGTGTCAACCATTATTAATATACAAAGGCTATTTGGAGCAATAATATATTAACAATCTCCACCTTTGGGCCAAGGTAGTGCATTGAGACAATTCATGAAACCGCGCACTCATCATTGCCGAATTATTACAAGTATTATCGCAAAGATGGTACAAGTAATGTAAGAGAATACCCCATGTATTCTCAGATCACATAGGGACAACACACCAAGCATGTCGGGTCCATAAAGGACTTAACTCTACAAAACGATCATCGAGTTCAAAAGGACACCAACACCAAACTATTAACAAACACTGGGTAAGTTAATAGTAAACCGAAGCAACACAGAAAAAATCATCCAAAATCAAAATTTAAAATCTTTTGACACGAAACAAATTTTTCAACAGGCAAACATTTAGTACCAGGATTACATTTTGAAGGAATTTGTTGACTATTATTTTTGTAGTGGTAGGCAGTCAACATGGCACAAAGAAGTTTGGCTTATTAGTAGGGAGTATGGGTTGACATGAGTTGACAAATATGCAGGGATACTCAATCACACACATCACTTATTTGCTCAAATAATGAGCTTAGTTTAAATTCAAATCGAGAGAAATAAACCAATTTTGATAACCGGAGCAGGATAGTGAGTTGCTAAAGACGGTGTCAACAATTATTAATATACAAAAGCTAGTAGGTCTAATAATCCTCTCCTTAATAGCACTACAATTCCACCCAAACAATTCCCGCTCACCTAAACTTTTCATAACACCCGTCCGATTCTCATAAACTAAATCAACTGCTTCTACCTTTCACATTCATTTTGTTTCTCTTTCGATCAGTGCCTTCTACGGAGATCTACCCTTTCTCAAAAATCCTCTCCTTAATAGCACTACAATTCCACCCAAAAAATTCCCCCTCACCTAAACTTTTCATAACACCCGTCCGATTCTCATAAACTAAATCAACTGCTTCTACCTTTCACATTCATTTTGTTTCTCTTTCGATCAGTGCCTTCTACGGAGATCTACCCTTCCTAAAAAATAGACAGAATCATCTGCTTGGAAATCATCCGAAAAATAGATGGATATTCATCTAGCTGAAATCATCTCCGTAAATCAGCCAAAAAAGAAATGGATATTCCTTCATTCAGATGCATTCTTCTTTCTTCATCTTCCTGAATCCTCTTAGCCGAAAGCATATTGGCCGAAGTCCATCCGATTCAAACTGAGATCGAGGTAAGTTATTCTTCTAAATCATATACTCCTTTTTTTATTTTAAATTGATATCCAACTTGGAATTCTTAGGTTTATATAACTTAGAAGATTGTTTCAGATTTTGCAAGGAAGGTGTTTGTTAAAATTCCTCAATCACGTATCACTTTCTACAATTATATTTTTCATCCTTGCTATTGTATATTGATATTTGGTAATATAATTGTTGTTTTCTTCATTTTTGTATGGTGAAATTATCAGGTAAAACTAATCATTGCTCCATCTGGTGGATTTGCAATTGACTCCTCCCTCGGGTGAGTAAAGGAATTGAACATTGATATGTCCTTAGGGTTAGATGTCCTTTCATCCTCTTTTTGAATGTCATATTTTTCTTCTATCTTCCATTTTTCTATTTCGTTTATTTTGTAATTGACACCATTTTTCAGTTTTAGTTTTCTGAAACTGGTTCTTTGACATTTCACAATTTACTTAAACATCATTACAATTTTCCATTTTCCTAATATGTTTTGGGGAATGGAATTTTTCATTGGTGGGTGATAAATTGCTCCTCACTAAAGTCTTCACTTTTAAGCTTCCCTTTGGTATATAGGGTTTCATTTAATATCTATCTTAGCTTTCTCTCATTAGAGAACTTCGAGCACATACTTTTAAATTTTGAATGATGTCTGAAACAAACGGTAGTGAGAAGTTCCTTATACTCGGATTTAGTCTTTCTCTAAGAGATGTGAGTTTTCAGGCCTTTCATGTTTCGGTAGATAATTACCTTTAATAGAAAGCTTTGCGATGTTAATGATCGTAAAGGGAAATTGTTGGAAATCATGGGTGTTTGATGGTGACATTCCTTTTTACGCATAAATCGTTGTACTTTGCAATTTTGAAATCCAAAAAAATTATATGGCTTAAAGTTCATGATACACGATGACCAAGGAAATCCAAAAAAGTTACTACCTCTGGGCTCCGCCCCCCCCCCCCCCCCCCCCCCTAATATTAGGACAGAAGAAAGTGGCGTGGTTTTTAAGAAAAGTAAAATTATGTGATTTATAATGAGTTGATAAAGTGGGAATAAAATAAGAATGAATTAAAGTCACACAAATGTTACCAAATATGGTATGAGACAATAATAAAGGGGACATCCAGAAATGAAAAAATGGGACAACTATAGAGGACGAACGGAGTATAATTTATAAAAAGGCATTGTTCACTATGCAGTCTTCAATAATTAATAGTGTGTTTATTAAAATTCTAATAATATTTATTTATAATTTCTATCATTTGTGTGATAAATAATATTATAATTTTTGAACACATCTATAATATTTGCGTATTACATCCCGTGCAACGCACGGGTGAAATACTAGTATCAGTAATGATGGATGAAATAATTCTCTCCACAGTAGAATTTTCTTCACTTCAAGAACATACCTAATTGAAGTTGGGTCAATCTATTAGATAGTGGCAAATATATTCTGGGTTCAAAATAGCCGGACAACCAGATACCCATTTTGGCTTTTCCCTACCGCAAGTTCACAATTCAACCTAAACCCGACCTGTTTCCAACCCTAGAAACAATGGAGTGATAAAGCACGTATATATGCCTAGGGCCGAAAATTACCAAGCATATTTACATACTTCTTTATTTACCAAAACTGGACCTGTTTCTACCCCTAGAAATCTTTCGCCATCCACTTTAAAACTATTCCCAGATTTTAAATTTCAAGACTCAAGGGCACCGATTAAAAACTTGGCGAATCACAAATGAACCAGTCCACTTAAACTTCTTTTTTCCTGGAAAAAGTCGAAAACCAGAATCAATGCAAGCAACACTACCTTCTAGAATGAAGAATATGATGGATTACTTTATTTATTTACTTTTGAATGAAGAATATTTACATAGTAAAACATTGATCTTCTTGTATTTCCATGTGTGGAAGTGATAATAAAATATATTCTCCTTCTATTCCTTCTATTTTACATTGTAAAACATTCCTTATATGTTTTCCTTGAGAAAATAATACAGAAAATAAATAGTACTTCAATTCTTTTGTCTCGCAATAAATTCTTTTTTTGAATTCACCAATTCGTGAAAACAAAGGCCTTTTATACTCTCCAATTATGTTTTTCCTCATAAGTATGGCAAAGAAAATTCAAAATTATATACTTACTCCATATGTACTCTTTATAGTGATAAAAGCACATTTTTACACAAATCTGATATTCTGATCAAAAACAAAAGTGAAAGCTGTATTTTGGGACATCACAAAAGAAAACTAAGATTGTAATTGTTAGAAGGGTTGTAATAAAAAATACAACTAATACAACATTTTTCACATAATACTACTCTGTCCCAAAAACAATTTTTCACATAAAAAGAAAACTATAAATAGTAAATATTACAAATATCTTACTTTTTTTTACTTTTACTTTATTACGGAGTAGTAGATATCACACATATCTTTGAGCTACTATTTGAAAATATTCTTTTTTTTTTAAATTAAAAATATTAGCGCCGCTTAATGCATGTACAGTCCCACTGGATTAATGGTATATATACGGCTGAGGGGCTTCTCTTAAAATCCGAACACCAATTAAGCAAGCTAATAACAAGACAATTAGTGAGATATGGGTAACGGCTACTCTAATACTACTTCTCAATTCCGGCTGGTCCCATTCAACAGGACAGCAGCAGCCCCAAAGCAGCCTTTAGTGAATTCTGCCTTTCATTCTCCCACACCAAACAAGCCTTTAGCCATTTCTGACTTTCATTCTCCCACACCAAACAAGCCCTTAGCCATTTCTGACTTTCATTCTCCCACACCAAACAAGCCTTTAGTCACTGCCTTCCATTCTTCTTCGCTATGGAAAAACCACTTCAATGAATCAAAGAAATCCAACAAACTGGTACGTGCATGCCTCCGTACTAGCTTAATAATAATACTCACTCTGTCCCGAAATTATCTTCATACTTTACTTTTCGGTCCGTCCTAAATTTATCTCTTTTTTCTTTTTTTGGTAAAGAATATGTGGCTCACAACCATTCTTATAAATTTCTCTCTCATCTGCATAACTCTCCACCACACAAATCTCACTATCTTAAAACACGTGTCCGGTCAAAACCGGAGTTAAATATGGGACGAAGGGAGTAATCATTATGTTTTAATTTCTGTTAAGGTCCATGGTCATATCCTAAAAGGTGTTTAAGGAGCTAGTAGCCCAAAGCCTTATATAGTTTTTATTGTTTTATTGTTTTCCGGTGTATGACAAATATTTTAAGACGCTCCCTCAGTCCGAACCGGGCTGGACAATATCGATTGAGGTGTATAAATGGGCCAAACAGACCCTTAACTAGCTACCTTTAATTATGAGTGCTAAACAAACAGTCAAACCACAACCCGACTTGACTCTGCAGATACCATGTTAAGACTCGGTTTAATTTCCATTCTAAAAGGTTAAACTGATAAGAGGAGCTCAAATTTTTATATATTGTTTTATTGTTTTATAGTTTCACATCCTTATATAATGTTTTATTGTTTTATAGTTTCACTACTACATTTTTAGACCTAATGTAACATTAATGATGTAACATATCTATAATAGTGTTACCTATTTCTCTAATGTAACACTTTTTAGACTTAGTGTAACACTTTCTAGAAGTATAAGTGTTACATCAGGTACTATAAAGTGTTACAATAGGTCAAATGCAACACCACCAAATGTAATGGTAAAAAAATGTTACATTTTCTCTAATGTAACACTTTTCAGAGAAAATGTAACATTTTTTTACCATTACATTTGGTGGTGTTGCATTTGACCTATTGTAACACTTTATAGTACCTGATGTAACACTTATACTTCTAGAAAGTGTTACACTAGGTCTAAAAAGTGTTACATTAGAGAAATAGGTAACACTATTATAGAAATGTTACATCATTAATGTTACGTTAGGTCTAAAAATGTAGTAGTGTTTTATGATGTGAGACAAATACTTTAACAAATTCATTCACATTCTTCATAATTAACTTCATAACAAGCGTAGTTCATTCATTAATAAATATGTCACTTACGAGGATGGTAATACATAGAATCAAATTGAGTTATACTCTTATTTGAAGTATATCTTAATTAATTGAATCTTATGTAAATTAAGGTTAATGTGCGCGCTGACAAGGTCATTTTTTGTTTCGATGGATCGTGTCTATACTATGATCATATATGATTCATATTCTAATTAGTGTTTTATTTTTAAATGGATTGGTAGATGGTTATTTACTTCACAGCGACATGGTGTGGACCTTGCAAGAGCATGGAACCAGCCATCAATGAAATGGCTGAGCAATATAGGGATGTGGAGTTTGTCAAGATAGACGTTGATGAACTATCTGTATGTATCCAATAAATCTATACTGTCTCTGATCTACATCTTGATCATCATACGTTAAAATTATGCATAATTTAGAGAAACAATCACTTTGCAACTAAAATAAAAAAATATTAAGTGGATAATTATGCATTTTTTATTTTAAAATACACACAAAATCATTGCAGCGTTTTATAGAAATCATGGAAAGTACTTCGTATTTTAATATGCTCATAAAACAATTGACGCGGTACAATGTCAAAACAATTTGTCAAAACAAACTAAATAAATAAACTAAACAACTCCGGTACCCATTTAAAAAATGGGGTAGCGTACCTACCACTCACTTGATTGGTTCAAATCAATACATTATTTTTAATTTAGATTTAAATAATTCAACTACATCATTCTTATTGGTCCATGTGAACAAATGTATAGTACCTTAAGGGTACCATAGAATCTACCTTAATAGGAACTCAGAGTAACCTGGCCTGACAAAACTATTTTCGTCATAAAAACTTTGTCAACCGTACCATTATTACCATATTCATTGTTGTGTGAAAAATGTTTGGTGTGCACATTCTTGGTGTACACCTTTGGCACACTTGTCTGTCTACGCAGACAGAGTTGTCTGTATACAGACAACTTTGTGGGATCCTACAGAATTGTCTGTATACAGATAATTATGTCTGCGTAGACAGCCAAGTGTGCCAAAGGTGTACACAAAACACGTGTACACCAAACACGACTCTTGTTGTTTAGAGTGAACAACTCCTCGCGTAAGCATTTCTATGATGGTTTAAGAATGGAGGCTCCATAAAATATACTTGTATACTACTCCTAAAATATACTTGTATACTACTCCTATATAGACTTGGTCATAGTTTCCGGTTTTCGGTTTAATCAGAACCAAAATCGGAACCGGCGGTTTGGAACCGGACTAGAATCATTGAAATAACGTCATGGTTCGAGTTTTATAATATTCGTAATTGTGAATCGTCGGTTCAGTTCCAATTCGAACTATGGACAAACTTACTCTTGTAACCCCGTCCTCTTATGTTTAGAAAGAGGGTTTAGAATACTTATAATTTGAACTACATTTTTTTATCTGATTTGCTAAATGTCTAGTTTGATCTGTTTACGTCTGGTTTGATCCGATCTAGGACAGAAACCCGTCCAAATAAAAACATTCTGGTATATATAACTACTAAACAAATGTGAAACTGTCTTGTCGATATGAAATTTATAAAGGTAAAAATGATAGTAAGACACTAAATATGACTACAATTGATATTTGACAGACGGTTTAATCTAATAAAAATAGAACGATGTTACATAATACGTAGTATGAAATATGTGAAGTATAATGTTACAAAACAGTTGGGTTACGGTTAAAAGAGTTAGCGAAATTTGCAATTTTAGTTCTGCAATTTACAGTTGGTCTTATGATTCTATTCTCTTGCGGATTTGGTCCTGTAACTAATACTTCGTAATAAGTTTCAAAAATTTCACCAGAAAGTACACTATGAGAGAAAATTTGACACGATCGGCATATTTTTAGCCTCAGAGTCTACATTTCCCAGAAAAGTTTTTCAATTGAAAATATTCATTAATTACATGATCAAATTTCCAAATGATTAATAACGGGCACAACCGAAAGTTTAATGACTAAAATTGCGAATTGAGTTTTATACGATGGTAGTGAGAAACTAGGCTTTAAAGTTTAAATTAATAGAAAAAGTTCACTCATAAACTTAGCTAGTACTTTTTCAGACCAAGTAACACTAAACAGATGAGAAAAAACTTAAACATAACAGTTAGACCAAAAAATTCCATAGTCTGATGATTAAATGATGTACTACCTTCCCCCCAAATTACTTAGCCAATTTTAAAACTTTGAACATCTATATATATTTATTGGAAAATATTTATAATATAAAATTGATATGAAAATGTTTTTTTTATTAAAAGTACTTTCACAAAAGTATAAAATTTATAACTTTCATAATATTGTATTAATCAAAATCATGGCCCAATTTTAAGATTTGGCTAAGTAGTTTGGGACAAAGGTAATATCACTCTTTCTAACATATTATGATATTAATATACCCTTTCTTGTAAGAGTATATATATGAAATAACTCATCATTTCGTTCTTTCTTGCTCTAGGTGAGTAGGTGATGTATGAATATTAAGGACAAATAAAAAAACAAATGAAAATGTTCAAAAAAGAATGGATGGTTCTTGTATAATTAATATTACGTTGTAGATCAGAGTAATTAATGTGTTAATTATATGGATATATGCAGGATGTGGCAGAAGAATATAAGGTGCAGGTAATGCCTACATTTATACTGGTGAAGGGTGAGAAAGTGTTGGAGAGGATTAAGGGAGCACAAAAAGAAGTTCTTCGAGCCACTATTCTTAAACACAAGAACTAATTATGATGTCTCATCTCATACCTTAACATCCTTAAAACGTATGATCGAAATACAATAAATAACGTCAAAACACATACGGATACTACGTATTAATAAATCATATTGTCCACCAGACGGCAGTATTATTGTAATCATCACAAAAATAATGATACTCTAATTGTCATGATGAGACGATGAGCAGAGAGGCTGTAGTGCATGTATGAATAAATTAGGGAGTATTAATTATACTTCTCTACTGATGAATGTCTATTGCTATGTTTTCATTACGTAGTAGTGCATGAGATCAGATGTGGTTATGATATGGTTTTTTATGATTAATTAATCAATGATGTGTGCTGTGTGTATATATATATATATATATATATGTGTGTGTGTGTGTGTGTGTGTGTGTGTGTGTGTGTGTGTGTGTGTTTTGGTTCAAATAAGAACATGATCTTATGAGAAAAATGAGAATGAATCTGGATCGTTAGATTTGCTTTATGTGAAATTCAATGTGCATTAGATGAAGCTGTAATGTGTATTAGGTGAAATTGAAATGTGCAGCACAAATGGTACAATGTAGTGGCATTATGTGAAGCTAAATTGCGCATTATGTGAGTTTGAAATGTGCACTAGATGAAACTAAAATGTGCAGAATAAAACACTACAAGAAATTGGATGTTTTACCCATACATGTATATGTAGGTAAAAGTGTAGTTATGTGTAGGCAATCATTTTTGCTTACACATAAATTAAGTGTAGGCATGTGTGGGTATCCAACCCTAGTTAAATGTATATGTTTACACACACATATATGTATGTGTGGGTAATAGTGTTTATTATTACCTACACATGTATGTGTCGGCAAAACACTATATTGTGTGTTGTTGTTTGTCATGTACACACCGTCTTGGTGACATGCCGTCTGACATGGCACGTGACGTGGCACGTGACGTGGCACGTGACGTGGCACGTGACGTGGCACGTGACGTGGCAATTTAGTGATTATGTGGCACGTGACATGGAAAATGATGTTTTTTGAAAAAATACAGCCACGTGGACACATTTTATGTGTAGGTAAAGATGATAAATGTGTAGCTAAATGATCCAAATAAACGTGAATAAATATATATAGGTGTAGGTAAAAAGAAACGTAAGTGTGGGTAAAAGTTTTGTCTATGTGTACCTATTGATAATTATGAGTTGGTATGACTATTTTTTTGTTTAATTAACTTTTTTTTTTTATGAAATAGATGTATATAATAATAACAGAACACATCAATATAATACAAATTGAAAACAAGCTCATTAAACATCAAAAGTATGTTCGTAGATTGACAATGCATAATACTAATAATAATAAGTATCCTCCATGAGAATTTAGTCTTCAATAGCAACAACACCAAATAAAGGAAAACAAGTTTTTACGCCAACACATAGTAATCAGAGTCATGCATTTCAATAAATAATGTATTACGTCTTCTGATCTCAATGCAACTTCTACTCGATTTCATCAAATTCAGAAGTAGAGTCAACATAGCCATCAATGGGCTGATCTCGGCCAACAGATGATGAGTCGCGGTTGTGTGCTCCTGAACAATGATCTGATGCAATTTGTGGCATGGGAGGAATGATATTTTTCTCAATCAACATTTTCTTCATCATTTCAATTGTGTCAACCAACTGACTATAGGTAGGGAGGTTTGAATCACTTTTGCTTTTGCTTCTTTTAGATCCATAGGGAGACCGTCCCCAACCAAACAAGCGAACAGATTGCCGTCCAAGCACATTCTCTAATATTTGCTTATGAGTCAATTTCTCGGGTGGGTTATCTCTTCTCAGTTGCATCATTTCTTCCTGTTAGGTTTTTAAAGCAATAGTAGTTCATTAAAATGTTTCCAGAACATGCCTGATGTGCTAACAACAATAAAGTGCGTATTTGAGGTGGACATAGTGATAGTTAAATTTTACTTACATATTTAGATTCTGCTTCTGGAGATATCCAACCACGCTCTGGATGACAATGACAGAGGCGCCATGTCTTGATATGTCCCACTGGGGCATCTAGATCAACTCCACGACTAACGTGATGACGAGCTGTACTTTTAGAACCATTCCTGGAATTCCATTTTCTCTTTTTGCGTGATTCAGCATTCTTAAGAGCTTTATCCTATAACAATAGATGAATACATTAGAAACTTATTTTTTAGAAACTATAATACATACAAGTAATAATGTAATAGCTATTTAATTACTTATAACAAGTGGAGTAGTGGACTGCAAATTACACTACAAATTAAACTACATATACAGAAGAAGTTATGCAATAGCTATTTAATTATAACAGAATACTATAGCAAACATGGAGTAATAGGACAGATGAGGCCTAATTGTAAGCAAATAATTATGCAAAACGAAATGTGAAAACTATAGATGAAAAAATATTTGTAGTTTTAAGACAGAAAAAGTACTACAGAACAACTATATAAAATGTTCCCTAGTAATTAGAAAAAGCAGACTAATTATATGAAAATCACAACCAAAACTCAGATACATTTATTACGTAATTGATAAGTAAAAATTCAGATGTGATGTTATTTTTGTACCTATTATTCTGCACATTTCAGTTTCACCTAATGCACATGTGAGTTTAAATTTTAATTCTGCACATTTCAATATCATCTAATGCACATTTCGATTTCACCAAATGCACAATTCAGTTCCACATAATTCAATCCAACGGTCCAGATTCATTCTCATTTCTCTCCTAAGATCCTAAGTTCCACATAATTCAATCCAACGGTCCAGATGTGTGTGTGTGTGTGTGTTTCAGATCAAATAAAAACCTTTCTTAACGTGAAAACAAAAAACCATTCACTTTTATCTGAATGTGATGCACTTTAAGGGTGATCTGTTGCACTTTTTGAACTTAAGTCGAACCATGCTAAATAAGAGAAATGTGGAGGCAGTTTTGTAATTAAGAACTCAAAGTTTTCTGTTAATGTGAAAAAGTGCAACACAGAAACGTAATAGTGCATCACACTGTGGAAAAAGTGGACGGTTTACAGTTTTCACGATAAGAATGGTTTTTGTTTGATCCATAGCATATATATAAACCTGAATTTGAAACTTTAGTTTACCAAAATATGAATTATGGCGAAGGGGTGGCTGAAACCCCAAGTATATTTACTTTTTCGTAAATCATGTAATAAACCTTGAAGAATGAATTATAAATTTCGAGGTTGTAAATTTTTGTTAATTCTTTTGCGCGAATAGTAAATTGCACGTGGGGCTCACACCGGGAACGGGCACCACCCAATAATTCCGGTACCACATATTATATTTATCTTGATCTAGACAATATGTATATGGCGGTGGATATTTTTAGTTGACCCATAGAAAGGGCATAGAGTTGACCCGTTGGTCAAATGAGACCCAATTACCGGTATTGGTAATTTATCAGATAACAGTCTGAAATGAATTTCGCAGACTTCTAAATTAAAGTTGGGGAATGTATAATTATTATAAAGTTCCATAGTGATTAAAAACATGTGTTATATTTTATTTGACCCGATAAAATAAAATATAATTAAATCAGTCCGAGAAATACAACTTTCGAGGCCGAATGTACATTTCGAGACAAATTAGGATGAAATCCCACATGAGTGGAGGTCATCCCACATTTTTGTGTGCTCAAGGTTGACAAAGAGAGACTGCATTATGGGAGAGGACTAATTGAGATGAAGAGCATCTAAATAAAAATATACGTGGGCCTCTTTTCTTTCACTCATTGCTCAAATGAGACAAGAGGAGCAACTCTACCCAATCCCTCACCCTTAGCTCGACCAAGGACTTCCAAGAGAGAGAAAAGAAGCTCTAAGTTCGTCCTCCATTATTGCAAAACGAGCTCAAGCAAGGTTGATCCAAGGAAGAAGATTAAAGAAGGAAAAAGTTAGGAAAAGTGTGAAGGATTAAGGTAATAACCTTATAATAACTTTTCTCCTACTTTTTATCTATTATATGACATATATATCATATGGAGGATCCCTAAGATTGTTCTACATGTTTAGAAATGTAAAGTGAGGGGTTGAAAGGTAGTTCTAAGTCACAGAACGGACTTAGAAACCAAAATGATCGGTTCACCGGAAAATAACCTTTTAGAGGTTATTTGTGTTGATATGAGTTTTGTGATGATAAAATCATGTTAGGAGCTTGACTAGAATTCGCCGGAGTTCGCCGGAATTTTGGCGGAGTTTCGCCGGAGTTCAACTAAGAAGCATAGAACTTCTTAAAACTCATTTGAGGTGAGTGAATGACTTAATGTTTTGTAACTTTTGGGTTAAGCATTAGATTACGTACCTAAGTAAATGTTATATGTGTTCAAAATAATGTTTAAATGAGATTAAACATGTGATTAGCCAAAGTGATTAGACTTGTATGAAAAGGAACTATCGAAATATGCATGATTTGTGATATGAAAATGTTTATAAAAACATATGTGATATGTTTAGAGATAAAATGTGCATAAAATGGTTGTTTACAACTTAATACGAGTTGTGATTAAATTTGACACTTATTGGATTTGAAATAGCAGGTCAACTGAGAGTTGACCGGTTGTCCAGGGGGCAACCGGCGCCGGTCATGCGTAGAACCGGCGCCGGTTTGATCGGGTTTAGCCCGGTTCATATTAATGGATTATAAACCGGCGCCGGTCAAGTTTGAACCGGCTCCGGTTTAGCCTTATATTGCCTACTAGTTTTTACATGCACGCGCATTGCGCGATTGAGTAGATGCCCAATGAAATTGATATAGAAAATATTAACCAATGAAGTAATCCAAATGTGATTAAAAAGCAGAAGTTCTCATGAAGAAAGTGATTTCCTTTTCACTTAAATTATATTTTAAGAAAATGTAATATCATCCTTCACTTAAGAAAGTGATTATTATTTTTAAGGAAAGAAAATGAAGAACAAAATCACGGTTTAATTAATTTTTTGTTTAGAGAATTTTGATGGAGATAAGACATTTTACATTTTTTTCTTACTCTTAAATTTGTTTTTACATCAAATATTGTAGCACATGATTTAGAAAATTGAATATATACTTCTAGTCCAAAACTAACAAAAACATGCCTAAAAGGCTAAAAGGCATGACAAAACTTCTAAATCACTTGTCCTTTCTTTAAATTTTAATAAACTTTTATTGTAAATATATATCGGGTAAAATTACCTCTTCCTACCACTTCCAACCAGTAATACCTACAAATAGATTTTGTAACACTTTAGCGTGACTTTATTCTCATCAAAGCA